TTTCTTAATTATTGACATTTTTAAAGATATAAGCTCATCTCGATGTTACACTCCTCAAGACCTTTCATTTGAGTACCTACATCAATTTTTCATATATTTATATATATTATATATATGTATATATGAAAAATATATCAAAAATTCATGTGGGTACTCAAATGAAAGTTCTTGATGAGTGTAACATCGGGATGAGCTTATATCTTAAAAATATATATATTACACAATTAAGAAATGACCTTGTATTTTGTAAACTATTGAAATTTTTAAAGATATAAGCTCATATTTACATTCCACCCATCGAGACCTTTCATTTGAATACCCACATCATTTTTTCATATATTTTATATATTTATATATATTATATATATATATATATATATATGATATATATGTATATATGAAAAATATATGAAAATGCATGTGGGTACTCAAATAAAAGCTCTTGATAAGTGTAACATCGGGATGAGCTTATATCTTTAAAAACGTCAATATTTAAGAAAGTACAATGAAATTTAACAATAGTCATTATTTAATACAGGAAAATTTTATTTATCTATAGTTCACAATAAGTCACGGCAGTCTCTTGAATTTTTAATTTTCACGTGGAATTTTTTAATTAATTCTTAAAAAAAAATATTATTGTTTGTCAACTTGTGATGAATTTATCAGTATTTAAATAAATCATTTAATTTTCAGGTCACGGAAAATGTGGAGTAGCTGTGGTACGTGTATCAGGAAATAAATCATTGGAAGCATTAAATAAAATGACAAATTTATCAAATCCTTCACCACGGCAAGCATTTTTAAGAAAAATTTACGACCCACTTACTGGTGATATAATTGATAAAGGATTATGTCTTTGGTTTCCAGGTTTTAAAAATTTCTTTATTAATACAAAAATTAATTAAAATTACCTTTTCTTCATTAAAAAAATAATTGAATGAATCATTAAAAAAATAATTAAATAATAAATCCACTTAAATATAGGCCCGAATTCATTCACCGGTGAAGACAGCGTAGAGTTCCAAGTCCACGGTGGCCCAGCAGTGATAGAATCTCTCATGTCAGCGCTGTCAAAGCTAAAATTAAAGCCCGCAGAACCTGGTGAATTCACAAAGCGCGCTTTCTACAACGGGAAGCTCGATTTAACAGAAATAGAAGGCCTGGCAGATTTGATCCACGCCGAAACGGAGCAACAGCGAAAGCAAGCTCTGCTCCAGGCGGACGGAAGTCTCAGTAAATTGTACAATTCTTGGAAAAAAAAATTATCCACTTCGCTAGCTAACATCGAGGCTTACATTGATTTCGGCGAGGATGACAATATCGAGCAAGGCGTCCTGGAAAAATGCAACGACACGACCAGAGCTCTGGTGGCTGAAATCTCTCAACACCTCGCTGATGGACGCCGGGGAGAAATTTTGCGCACTGGAGTACGCACTGTCATAATTGGCCAGCCTAATGTGGGAAAAAGCAGCTTGCTTAATTATCTGGCGTGCAGAAATGCCGCGATTGTTACTCCTATTGCCGGGACTACGAGAGATATTGTTGAGTTAAGCACAAATATATCAGGCTATCCTGTTATTCTAGCGGATACAGCGGGACTAGTTACCTCTACTGAGGACATTGTTGAAAAAGAAGGCATAAAGAGAGCGAGGTCTTACGCTACTACTGCAGATTTTATTATCTTGATGATTGATGTCTCCAATTTTTTGTCAAGTGGGAAATCATTTCAAGACTATTTGCATTACTATGTTGATCAGCTGGAAATAAGAGATTTAATTAAAGAAAAAAGAGGCAATTTTATTATTATTGTTAATAAAATTGATTTGGTTAAATATGATGACTATAATATTGTTAATGATTTAAGAGAGTATGGAGCCATTCCGATTTCTTGTGATAAAGAAGATGGATTTAGTGATTTGTTACACGCTTTGACGATTAAATTTAAAGATTTGTAAGTTTTATTCCTTATTTTAGTTTTTACTTAATTAAGGCTAGGTCGTAGTAAATTTTCTTGAATTTTATTATTCTAATTACATTTTTAAAGTAACTATTATAAAATTTTTGCAATAATTAGTCAGAGTTTTTTTTAAAAACTTTATTTTAAATGCGTAACTTGTGAACTATCAATAAATAAAATTTTGGTTTATTCAATAATGGCTCTTGTTAAATTGCACTGTACTTTCTTGAATATTGACGTTTTTTAAGATATAAGCTCATCCTGATGTTATACTCATCAAGAGCTTTCATTTGAGTACCCACATGCATTTTCGATATATTTTTCATATGTATATATATATAATATATATAAATATATGAAAAAAATGATGTGGGTACTCAAACGAATGGTCTCGAAGATTGTAATGTCAGAATGAGCTCATATCTTTAAAAATGTCAATAGTTCACAAGATACAGAGTAATTTCTTAATTATGTATCTAGAGAAAGAGCATTATCGAATGCAGCCTAAATACTTTTCATAATAAATTGATTATCAGTGAGAATGATATAAAAGCTTGAAAAGGTACAAATTTAAGTCAAGACCTTTGCAATGATACTAAATTTCATTAAAAAAACTATCCAGGACATAAAATTTTTGTTATTCTCTTCTTAATAATATAAATTAGAAAAATAAAATTTATGAAAATACCATTTACTACAGCCTACTTTTATAAATTTTTCAATTTTTTGGATTTTTATAATAACTTAATTACAAATTATTAGGAAAATTAAAAAAAAATTCTACTTCTAGAAATTTAAAAAAATTATTAGTGCAAATTTTTGAAAAAATTTCTTATTTTATTTGTAATTATTGATATATTGTCATTGTTGTTATTATTTGATAATAATTACTAAAATTGTACTAATTATTTCAGATGTGGAAATCCATCAAGAGAAAATCCAACAATAAGTCAAACTAGGCATCGAGTGCATTTAAAAACCTGTGTTAATTACTTAAATAATTATTTAGGAATAGTTAATAATTACGAGTACGACATGGTAATTGCTGCGCAACAAATACGATTTGCAATGAGAGAATTGGGTAAAATAACTGGTCACGTTAGTAGCGAAGAAATTTTAGATATTATTTTTAAAAATTTTTGTATTGGTAAATAAAATAAATAAACTTTTTAAATTTCCCGCTTTTATTTTCATTGGCGCTTCCTGCATAATCCGATTTTTTTGGCAGTTTATAAGCGCGTGTGCGCACGTAAGGTGCGCAACGATTGGTGAGAGTGAGAGAGTTTCCTTTTACACAGTGACAGAAATCTAAGAGGTTGGTGTTTGACAAAATCTGTTAATATTAATAAAATCTCAATTAATAAATAATAAATTATTGATTTAATAATTAAAACACCGTTTTTTTGAGATATAGTGATAATTATTTTTGTATATTTATCATCAAGTAAAGTGATTAAAATTTTTTATTCATCAGCGTGGTGATCTAACCTATTTGCATTGTTTTTATAGGATGCCTGCTCGATTTGAATTGGCCGTTGGCCTCAACCGAGGACACAAAACCACGAAAATTCGTGTTGCAAAAAATAAAAATGAAAAGGAAAGAACTGTTGCAGTGAGACCTTCCCGTTTTAAGGGGGTAAGATGGTTTTTTTAATCTTTTATTTACAGACTTTTGTTGGTGGCGTTTATTAACTTATCATTTTTAGCCATGTGTTACTTTATTTTTAACCAATTAATTTATGACAATAAAGTCAGCTGACTTCAAAATTTTTAGAATTATTTTTTTTTTGCTAAATTTTTTCATTATAATTTAATTATTATAAAAATTTTTTTAATTCTTAAATGACTATTAAACTAGTCTCATTTTTTTGACTTAAATTATTGAAAATGATTAAAATAAAAAAAAGAACAATAACTTACATGAATTTAAAATAATAATTGTCTTTGCTTAATTAAACTAATTTATAAATTACAGCGTCAAACAAAACACACCAAATTCCAACGTGATTTGGTTCGTGAAGTAACTGGTCATGCTCCCTACGAGAAGCGCGCTATGGAGTTGTTGAAAGTCTCCAAGGATAAGCGTGCTCTTAAGTTTTTGAAGAGAAGGGTAAGTTGTTATCATTTTTATTTACTAATTTTAACTACTAATTTATATTAGCAACCTTGCAGTCACTATGTGACTGCCGTAACTTGTGAACTATAAAAAATTACAATTTTGCTTTATTAAATAATTACTTTTGTTAAATAATATCATTTTGATAAATAATATAAGCTCATCTTGATGATACACTCATCAAGAGCTTTCGTTTGAGTACCCACATGCATTTTTGATATATTTTTCATATATACATATATATATAATAATATATATAAATATATAAAATATATGAAAAATTGATGTGGGTACTCAAATGGAAGGTCTTGATGAGTGTAACATCGTAATGAGCTTATATCTTTATGAATGTCAATACTTTACAAGATACAATGTAATTTTTTAATTATTGACATTTTTCAAAATATAAACTCATTTCGATGTTACACCCATCGAGACCTTTCATTTGAGTACCCACATGACATTTTTCATAATATATATTATATATATGGTATATGTGGAATATATAAATATATGAAATATATGACAAATTGATGTGGGTACTCCAATGAAAGGTCTCAATGAGTATAACATCAAGATGAGCTTATATCTTTATAAATGTCAATACTTCACAAGATACAATGTAATTTTTTAATTATTGACATTTTTCAAAATATAAACTCATTTCGATGTTACACCCATCGAGACCTTTCATTTGAGTACCCACATGACATTTTTCATATATATTATATATATGATGGTATATGTGGAATATATAAATATATGAAAAATTGATGTGGGTATTCAAATGAAAGGTCTTGATGAGTGTAGCATCAAGATGAGCTTGTATCTTTAAAAATGTCATTATTTCACAAGATACAAGGTAATTTCTTAATTAAACTGACTAATTTTTTTTTATAGTTGGGAACACACATCAGAGCCAAGAGGAAGCGTGAAGAATTGGGTAACATTCTTGTACAAATCAGAAAGGCTGGACACCACTAAGCCTTGTGTTATTTGGAAAAGTAATGCAAAAATCTTAATAAATAATATCTTGGTATTTACTTGAATATTTGTTGTTCTTTAATTGAACTTTCCTCTTAGTAGTGTTATTCTTATTTTAGTCTATAATTTTAAGCTATTATTAGAGAAATTATTTTAATACTTTTTATTAAATTTAATTTAATTCCTTAAAAATTTCATTCAACATAATTAAAATACCAAAGCAAAAGCCCGAATAGCAAAAGTACATATTTTACACAGTAATGAAAGTTTATAATTTTTTTTAATCAAGAATTTGAAATAATTTGCACTAGATAAATTACAATATTTTTATGTCTACGTAAAACATGAATTTTACTTATTAATAAAGTTAATAAATTTATCTTGAGGATAAATCTTAAATTTTTAAATCCATAAAAGTATAAAATTTTCGAGCAAAAATTGTAAAATAAAATTTATTTAAAATTTAACTCAGTATGAATTATAAAATTATAAAAAAAAATTTGCTTACTAAATAATTCAGTCTATTATATATCTTCACTTGATGCGCATGAATAATAATAAACAAAAGGTCAAACATTAAATTTAATTTGTCTACATAAAAAGTAATTAGTTGATAAATGGGTCGATGTCAAACAATGATTTAAATGATGAGATAATATTGATATTAAAAAAATTTGACGGTGACATATATATATAAAGGTCAGAGGTGAGAGAAATGAAAAAGGATTAAAAAAAAAGTAATTTAAAGAAAAAACTATAAAAAAGGAGTTTCGTTATTAACACTATGCATCATATAGAGAGTGCGAGCTAGGCAAAACGCCGCTTTTTATTGCATCAAATATAAATCACTGCAGGTCGTTTGGAGGCACCGTTACTGCAGCTGGTGTACTGATGGTAGGTACTGTGACCTGTGAGCTTATCATGGTCCTCGCTACCCCGTTAGACAAAAAAATTTAGGCGACTAATTGTGAGAAATTTTTTTGTTGCTATAACTAATGATTTATTTGAAACTTTTTTACGAGTTAATCTTTGTTTGTTTGTTTGTTTAATTTTTTTCGTGTGAGTTAAAAAAATTAAATGCTGATGAATAAAAGGTCTTTTATTTTCTTGATGGGAGAAGTTATTTTTATTTTTTTTAATAAATTAATCTTGTTAAAAAAAAAAAAAATATTAAAATTAAATCCTTTAAAATTTTTGTACAATTTTATAAAAATTATTTATAGGTAAATTAAAAATAAATATTATGTCATCTGGATAATAAGTAATTGTAATTTATAATTTAAGTCATTAGTCAATATTGATCTGACCTTGATCATATTGATTGAATGACATTTCACAAAGTATAAATATGCAGTACATTTTTATTGTCTTCACTAAAATTATCTGCAATTTTTTTGGTAAGTACTTAATATTATAAAAAACTTATAAGATTTTATTAAATTAAAATTAGACAAATTTTTTATTTTTTTTTAACAATTAAATTATTTAAAAAAAAATTGCATTTATAATTTTTTTTTAAATTATTGTAATTTTTTTACATGTGAATTTATTTTGCCATATATTTGTTAATAAAAATTATTAAATATCTGCTAAATTAATATTTATAAAATTTTTATAAATTATCAATATACACTTTTTATTTTATCAAGGGAAAATATGAATTTTCTGTGTCTAAGTGGATTATATTACTCTAATTTACATAAAGAATAAGATAAGACGATAATCTGGATTAAGATGGCCTATCGAATAACTTTTGATTTACAGTATATATCAGAATTTTCTTAAGTAGTTATTTAGTTTGAATTTATATCATTTTTATGCATATATTATTTATTTACATTTTTTTTAATATCGGTGTTTTTCAGTTTAAAAGATTTCGCATAAAATTTGCGTATTTTTTATAAAAAAAAAAAAAAAAATGAAATTTTAGTACCGCAGATATTTACCCCACTTAGAGGATATACTATAAATTGGAATTTTATGATATTTAATTCATATAAAGATTAAATTAATTAAGTAGTAAGCGCCGTTGCTTATCAGAGTTTTCTTGATGTGAAATTTTGGTGGTGAATTATTAATATATTTATCTTTCGATAAAAAAAAATTCCATAAGTTTCTTGAAATATGCTTTTCGTGGAGGTACTACCTTCATATAGGACATTAATAATAAATTTTTTTCTTTTTGCTAATTAGGCTGTATCATTTCAAAACATAACAATTACAAAATTTATAATATTTTCTTCAGCAATTTCATATTTAAAATTTTTTTTATAAATTTATATAGTGATAATTTTTTTTTCTATAAGTCAAAAAAATATATATCGAAATACATAAAAAATATATAAGTTATGTATGGTAAATATATTTTTAATAACTAACTTTTGGCCGATTTTCATATATATTTTATATATTTCAAATATATTTTTTTTCATGAGGGATATATCAGATATTGTCTTATGAATTAGGATAACAAAATTATTCTAATAAATATTCATGATAAATTAGTAATTCAAATCGACCGTAAATCAAATCACCTAAAATAATAATAATAATAATAATTTAATTAATGAGATATCATAGCGTAATTTACCCTGATAATTAAAAAAATACATATTTTACTTGCGTTTAATCCCATAATTAATAATTTTTATTTGAAGCTATTCATAATGTGTATATATGTTTATATATCATTGAAGTAATTAAATATCCAATCAAATAATAAATTATTGATTGGCCTAAACATATAATACAAATTTGATACAACCAATGATATTAATTTATCAAAGATAATAATTACAAACAAATATTTCTCCAAAGAATAGAAGAATATATAAATTATAATTACAATTTATCTAAAAATTTAATTAATAATTTTTTTTGTACTAGCGCTTGAAATACTTTGTAAATTTATCAACATGGCAAAGTTAGAAGCCAAAATTTTCCTCGCTTTGTGTATCATCTCTTTAATGTCGTCTGTTGTATCCTCTTGTTACAAAGCAGGTCAATGGGTAATATAACTTATTATATAATTTATGATTGTTTTTTCTGCACTTCTTCATTAAAAGTTAGATTTTTAATCATTAAAAATTTACAGTGTTACGACGGCGATAGCAACAAATGTTGTCCGAACGGTTATAACGATAAAATAGCTCCTGATCAACGCCAGGTGTACCGATGTCTTCATAGGCATTACCGACATGGTTCTCCGAGTGATATTATTACATGTGAAAGGTCTAATTTAAGGAAATTTAGGTACAACTAACCACTCAATACTTCAAGTGAATCTATAATTTTGGAACCACCAGAAGATTTTAAAATTTTCAATTCATCTGATGATATTCAAAAGAACTATGCTCCTTTATCCGAAAATATCCCTTTCATACATTCAGAAAAAATTTCTTCCTTTTAATTACTGATATATTAATTTAAAAAGAAAAAAATATTTTAACTAGATCTTAAGAAAATATTTATGGTATAAGTCTGGTTAAAAAGAAAAGAAAATAAATAGGATTAATAACGAAACACTAATGTAGTGTAAAATAATATAAATGATAAGAAAAAATTGTAAATTTAAAAGAAAAAATAAATTATATTATATAAAATAAAATTTTATTGAGCCGAAGATCATTTTCTTACTTCAAAATAATTTTTTTCTGTTTTAATTTTTTTTTTTCATATATACATATATATAATATATATTTTAAAGATATAAGCTCATCCCGATGTTACGCTCATCAAGAGCTTTCATTTGAGTACCTACATGCATTTTTATATATTTTTCATATATACATATATATAATATATATAAATATATGAAAAATTGATGTGGGTACTCAAATAAAAGGTCTCGATAAGTGTAATATCAAGATGAGCTTATATCTTTAAAAATGTCAATAGTTCACGAGATACAAGGTAATTTTTTAATTATGTATCTAGAAATAGAACATTTTCGAATGCAGTCTAACTACTTATCATCGTAAATTGACTATATTTTACTTATTTTTTTTTTTGCAGTGCAATTATCACAAAACCTATTATGTAAAATTATATATGAGCCATACATAATTTTTTTTACCGGGGTAAAAAATTTCGCCAATAAAAAATATCAGACAAATCAATAAAATTGAGACATAATCCCGTAAAACGAAAAAAGTAATATTGCAAAAAGTAATAAATTTAAAATCCTGTAAATAAATGTTTATGAATGAAATAAATTTTCTGTTACAAAATATGCTGACTTATTTTGCAACCTCTATGTTCCCGAGAAGATCCAGACTTAGTTCAGTGAGAAAACAGAAAACAAACATAAAAATGAATATTATAAAATGAATAAAATATGAAGGTTTTTGTATGTTTTACCCATAACATAAAAGCATCTTTATGCCCTGTGGGTGTTTAAACAACGGATAAAATAAATCTTTAAACGCGACATTGAAAATGCGTTCGGCTAAAATATGTGGTCCAGTCTGTACTCGAAGTTACTGCCAATGTTCCGGCAGTTACGCAAACTTATATCGCCCGAACACCTTTAAAAGCAAGATTTACCGATCTAGCTTCATAAATACTTAACTTTCGATCCGCCCACGCGGTTACTGCGTACATCCGTGCCCATACGTTCGTCCTACACCCTCGAATCCCTATAAATAAATACACACCCCCATCTAAGCATTGTGTGTGGCATAAACAACCTAACGTGAGAAAATCGCAGATGCTAAGTATATATATATATATATGTACTTAGTACCTTCAATGCGTCGCTATTCATGCAGATATCGGTATCGATTTCGGCTTCATTTGTTTAAATTGGTCCCTGCTGAACAATTTTGTCTCCTCTCGATTTTGATCCCTTTTATTATAAACACAATGCGAGCCACCAAATCTCCTTCTTTATTTCTTCTTGTCTGATAACAATTTATCGGGGTTATTCATTTGTTCCTTTTTAATTGCTAATTTAATTAACAAACGATTCGACCTACTTGGTTGGGTACAATTTAATTATGAATAGAGTTTAGGGTGAAGCGTAGGTACAGTTCTCGGTATTTTGTTTTGAGATTTTTTAACTGGAAAATTTTATGAGCTAGGGGATGTTTTTGATGAAAAATATTTTATTTAATCAGCAAGGTTTTATTTTAATCATCCTTCAATATTTTACTTTAAATTAAAGGAAGAAAATGTTGATTTTTATTAAAAATAAAAATAAAAAAAATTTTCAAAATTTATTTTAATTAAGGGTGTGCGAATATCGTTCGAATCGAATCGAATCGAATATTGATATTCGATTCGAAATTCGAACCGAATAATTCGAATTTTCGAATTAATCAACATTCGACGAATAATTCGAAAGAATTCGAATAATTCGAAAATTCAAATTATTCGATTCGGAACGAATAATTTGTAAGTTCGAATTATTCGCACACCCCTAATTTTAAACCCTAATCTAGTTAACTCTTGATAAGTCTTGATAAGACTTGATAGCATAGCCACGCGGACATGTAAAAATGAAAACTCTAAATTTCTTCCAAGTTACTAATCTAATCAACTGTTTGGCCTAAAATCCTTGTAGAGAATATGAAAACGATTCAATTGGTACATAAGAATGATTAATAATGAACTTATCGACAATTTTAAATACGGGTGTGCGAATATCGTTCCAATCGAGTATTGATATTCGATTTGAAATTCGAATCGAATAATTCGAGTTTTTGAATTAATCGAAATTCGACGAATAATTCGAATTTTTTCGAATTATTAGTCGAATTTCGAATAATTTGAAAATTCAAATTATTCGATTCGAATTTTGAATCAAATATTAATATTCGATTCGAAACGAATAATTCGTAAGTTCGAATTATTCGCACACTCCTAATTTTAATGTAATTAAATGATTTTTGATAATATATACTGAAAAAAAAAAATTAAGTTGGTTCAAGAGGAAAATTTTTGAACCAAGAGAATAATTTTGAAGAAAATCGGCTTGCTTTAAGTAAAATAATTATTAAGCTGCAAGAATTTTCTTTATTATATTCAAGGATTTTTTGAATGAAGATGATAAAATTTTTCAAAATGATTTTTTTGGGTCAAGAATTTTTTTCCTGAATCAAATTAATTTTTTTTCAGTGTATTATTTTGAAATTAACGTAAATATTTATTTCAAATACTAAATATAAGTATAATTTAATTATTTGAGTAAACATACTCAATTCTTGGGCTTTATTAACCCCGCTACATATCAGTATATGATAAATAAAAAAATAAAATTAATTCAATCAAAATTTCATTATTTTAAATTAAGCAGAAAAATTTTTGAACTAAAAAAACTTTCTAGGTTTAAGTACACTAAAAAAAAATTTAACTTGAATCAAATTGAAAATTCTTGATCCAAGAAAATAATTTTGTAGAGTTTCATTGTCTTGAATCAAGACGAAAATTTCTTAAATCAAGTAAAATTTACTTAAGCCAAGAAAAATTTAAAAATTATTTACTTGATTCAAAAAAATTTTTTTTTCTGTGTTTATTTTATTTTAAGTCACAAATTTTTTATATTTTAAAATCATCAAATTCTTAAAAATAATTTTTTTGTCCCAAGATTTTTTATTTTTGAATTAAATAATTTTTTATCAGTGTAAACATGTCTCTTAACTGACTTTATAATTCTGTTAATTAATTAACATAAAATTTTCTAGCAATAATTTTATTTCAAACAGCTACTTATAATCTATTACGTAAAAATACACTTATATTTATTAACATAAATTTAATCATCGATCTCTCAATTAATTAAAATCCCTCTTTGATTTAGGTAAAGCGATACTCTGTTTTTTTTCTAAAACTTTTTAGTAAATTGTTTTATCTGGTGTACTAGTACTACTTTGAATTTATTAGACGTAGTTTTAGAAATATCGTAGACTTTGATCGCGATAGTAAGGAGGTCGTTGAATTGATGACTACTTGTTCCTTTTCTGGTTTTGTTTGTTTAATTTTTTTTTTTTTTATTTTTTCCAGCTCTTCCTTTCCATTTTGTTAACTCCCTTTTCTTCCGTCCGATAAACGACGCGGGTTCTTGGTTGTTACCTTTTTTGCTACTCTAATTTTTTTTCTACGTTCATTCGTGAATCGTGACCTCGTTTCCACATCTAACAAATTTCATTTCCAATTCCAATCTCTGTGCCAATCTCGGAATTGACTAGCCACACGGTAGTTTCAAGTTTTTGCAAATTTATTACGCATGTATATATATGAAGATACATTTATAAGCTTGTGTATGTAGTCAATATTATATGTACACAAGTATATTGTTTATTACATGGATTGACCATGTACGAGGTGATAGTTGAGCAGATGGAAATATACGCGTTTGCTTGATCTAGATTTATAGTGACTTTAAAATTCAAATTGCATTATAAGTAGATGTATACGTTTGTATACCACTGTCCGATTCTCTCTGGCTAATTTAACTCGATTGTTGGTGAATTGGATTTAATATACAATATGCATCAAAATCTAATTATAATATTATTTATTAGTTATTATTATCATCACAAATCCCTTTTATTGATTTTTCCACGGCTTATAATGCGAACTACGAAAGAGTGCTTTATGATTAAATTTTTTTTTTGCTCCCTCCAACAATTATTTCTATTGCTTTGTTCTTTTTAGTACACGAATGAAAGTAATTTGTATACGAGGTATAATTTAATAAAGACTAGCAGCTATGCAGTCACTATGTGACTTATGAACTAAAAATAAATGTAATTTTGGTTTATTAAATTAATGACTTTTGTTAAAATGCACTGTGACTTTTTAATTATTGACGCATTTAAAGATATAAGCTCATCTCGATGTTACACTCATCAAGAGCTTTCATTTGAATACCCACATGCACTTTTATATATTTTTCATATATATAAATATATAATATATATAAATATATGAAAAATTGATGTGGGTACTCAAATGAAAGGTCTCGATAAGTGTAACATCAGGATGAGCTTATATCTTTAAAAATGTCAATAGTTCGCAAGATAACAAAGTCAGTTCTTAATTATTGACATTTTTAAAGATGTAACCTCATTTCGATGTTATACTCGTCAAGAGCTTTCATTTGAGTACCCACATGCATTTTGATATATTTTTCATATATATATATATATATAAATATATAATATATATAAATATATGAAAAATTGATATGGGTACTTAAACGAAAGGTCTTGATGAGTGTAACATCGGGATGAGCTTATATCTTTAAAAATGTCAATAGTAAAAAAAGTACAGTGCAATTTAACAAAAGTTGGCCACAAAATTTTGCTTATTCTCTTAATAATATCGATTTATAAAGAAGTCTAAACGAAAGAATCATTAAAATAATCTAATAATTTTTTTCGGTTGCCTAATTAACAAATTAAATTTTATCAGATTTCTTTTTTTCTTGAAAATTCTCATATCTCATTTAATTTTAGAAAATAAATACAATTTTCATCATAAGAATATTAAAATTTTTACTTAAACTACAAGAAAAAAAAATAATTAAGCATATTTAATTCTTCCGCTTTTTCATTCTACTATTCTTTTAAGAGTTCTCAGCATGAAAACACCATATAATTAAATTTGAAAAAGTTAAAACAAAAATACCAGTTGAATATTACCATTGCAGTAACTGTTTTAATTAAAAATAAACAAAATTATTGTATGTATAATTGTAGCCAAGTATATAATGTTAAAATAAGCATATAATCGGTTAAATGATACAGAAACTAGTACTTAGACAATATAGCGCCGGATATAACAGGTTTGTTATAGTACTTGTCGGTACTGATATCTAAGGTCTTGTAACTATACCATACCCTCCGAAAGTTAACTAATTTCAAGTAAAACCGTTGCCCAAATGGTTACATTCGTATCAGTAATAAGGAACTACAACCAACACAACAACCAACAATTTCTCTTGCGTGTTTTACTCTGTCTCCTTTGATTACCACAGACCGTGGTGTTTCAACTTGCCCTTATCTCACTTCCGGGGGTCTTACAATGCTTAAATTAAGAAATGAGCACTCTCCATTTTCCCTTAGCTTGTACAGCGAACATATAATTACAACGTTTATATTTAGATTATTTCCTAGCGTACATTATTTTTGTTATAATCTAAAAAATTTTTAGAATAAAAAATTAAAATTTTGCTTTATTAAGTAATGACTTGTGTTAAATTGCTCCGTGCTTTCATTTGAGTATCCACATGCATTTTCATATATTTTTCATATATTCATATATATAATATATATAAATATATGAAAAATTGATGAGGGTACTCAAATGAAAGGTCTTGATGAGTGTAACTACGGGATGAGCTTATATCTTTAAAAATGTCCATAGTTCACAAGATACAAGGTCGTCATTTCTTAATTATTGACATTTTTTAAGATATAAGCTCATCCTGATGTTACACTCATCAAGAGCTTTCATTTGAGTACCCACATCAATTTTTCATATATTTATATATATATATTATATATATGTATATATGAAAAATAAATCAAAATGCATGTGGGTACTCAAATGAAAACTCTTGATGAGTGTAACATTGGGATG